GGGGGGGGGGGGGGGGGATTGGTGAAAGAACAGGGAAGGGTTGGGATGGTTGGTGAACAAGAATAGCTGACTACAGACTTCTTTCTATAAACAAAAAGGGTTAATTAATTTCTGTTGACCAGTGTTTCCCCCAGTTACGGCCGCCCCTCCTCCCCCCCCCCAACCCCGGTAAGAGGTGTTCGGCTATTTGAAAATTATAGGGTGACATTAAGTCTTTGAGAAAATGTATGTGTTAATGTTTTTAACAACTTTTTAAACAAATGTGTATTGGGGGTGGGGGTGCAATGTTTGACAGGACACTTTTTCAAAGTTAACCAATTTTATTGTCGTTTTCGCTTATTGTAATGCAAATAAGTTTTTCTTATTGTCTGTTACATACACACACACCTACAACATTCATTCTCGATGCCTAAACAGGCAACGAAATTAAAATTTAACGCCCCCCCCCCTCACAGCATCGTAAAATGCAATGCACGTTACAAAGCCACTCCACTTGTTTTTAAAAAAAAAACAGTTTGGGGTTTGAGACTTTAAACCTTTTAGGTGCTCATGTTGGGGCAAAAATAGGTTGGTAAACAATGCTCGGTGCTAGCGGGAGAGGTGTCAAAAATATAGATCACTTCTTCTTTCTAAGAGTACCGACAATACCATGACCATAACGATAACTTTTTAAATGCACCCACCCGTCCCTTGATGAGCCGCTGCTTTCGTTCCAAGCTCGGCCCATGTCACACAGACCTGCAGAGATAACATTGAAGATAACTTGCGGTGGGTTGCCTCGCCAGTTTTGACGTCACAGCTCGCGCCAGCCATCGATCGTGCTAGCAGCAGGCAAAACTACAGCATGCTGTCCGATAGAAACCGTGGAGAAAAGTTTACCACGAATTCTCGGAACCGAATTGCAAAGTGCACCCCACACCCCCTCCGGATTCTTGGAAAAATGAAAGTGGAACATTCTAAATATAAATACAAAACAATTTAACCCAACATTAAAATGAAATTGATTATCACTCAAAGGCTTTCAATGTACAAAAATTTATTTCTAAATGGAGAATGTTATAGTTTAATATTAATAAGTACCCCATTGTAGCTTTAATTTACCATCAATGAATGGGTAAATTTGTGACCATCAATGAATGGGTACATTTTTTACCATCAATGAATGGGTAACATGTGTGACCATCAATGAATGGGTAAATTTTTGGCCATCAATGAATGGGTTACATGTGTGACCATCAATGAATGGGTAGCATGTGTGACCCACAATGAAGAAGGGTACATTTGCACCATCGACTTAGGGAGAAAAATGTACCACCAATGGAGGAGTATTTGTACCATCAATTGGGAGAGGGTGGAGGGTACATTCATACCATCCGTGGAGGCCGTTTACTTTGGAGAGAATGTGTGAAGAAATGGACGTTGACCTCCTTTGTTGGAGTCCAGTTCACTACTAACTAGGTTTCAGTATTCTAAGACAAAAATTTTATCAACTTTACTCTGCATGTCTGCAACAGCATCAGAAGGGACATTTACAATCCAAGGGATTAGGTAACTGTATCCAGGATCCAGGATGCAATTATTGTTGACACCAACACAATAGAAGGGATTATGGGATGTCTGGTAATGAGCAAGCAAGAAGCAAAATTGAAGTGGAGAATAGAAGTAGAAGGCAAGTTCTATAACTGCAAACAAAATCACAGATGGATCTTATGGCTTGGCACATAATACTCTAATAATGCAAAGCTCTTAAACTTACTACTTAGTGAAAACAAAACAGTTAATAATAGATTAGATATTACAGTAATCCGATATTTCAAGGAAGACCAAACCCAATGTGTGTTTTGAATGTGTAATATTTCAGTTGGTTCAGATAGTTCTATTGTATGTATGACCCACTTAGTTTTCTTGAGTAAGATCAAACCAGTTCCTTGAAAAGATATTTATGTGAACGGGTGTTCATGAAAAGAAAATTTGTACAAGGTGGTTCCATGATATTTACACTTGGCACAGTTGCACACCAAGATTGTTTGCTTATCATAGTGCACTGAGGGTTAGTTACACCCTGAAATTTTACTGAACCAAATTTTGTAAAAAGAAACAATTTTGAGTTCCTGATGTTGAGCTAAAGAATAACATCAGGAGAGAAACAAAAAAATAATAAATAAATAAATATATAAATATATATATATATATATAAAGGTTATCATTTTTCCTTCTATCACATATTATGTTCCTATAAATAAATCACTCTCATCCATAATGGAAACTCTCAAAAATCTCATCTAAGAAATGGTAGCTCTGACATGTCAATAATAACTGCGGCACAGCCAAAGATAACAGAATGAAACACCCCAATGTGTGTGTACAAATCTACGCAACCACAGACTAAGACATTTCTACACTTCAGACAAAATTAGTTTTTAAAAAATCCCAGAAAGTTTTGGCATTGATGACGACATTTAGCTGCCCATTTGTACACTCCCAGATAAAACATCCTCAACACGATGTCATCATCCAGAGTCTATACACATAAAAACTCAGCATGCCGTCCTAAAGATCTCCACACATCCATTATATGCTGATGTTAACAATTTAAAAGCTACCAAGTTTCATAGTTAACCGACAAGCAATCGTGCGTCATATTTCACTAAACATAGTCAACAATGGTTATTGCAGTTATTGTCATTTAATTTTAATAGTCGGCAAGTTAGCTGCTGGGTGCAGCAGGGAAATTCCATGTTGGATTCAAGTCCAGTATAAATACTTACCGTTACTTTGTATTCATAAATGATAGGTTAAAGGTCACACATATATATATAATTTTTAGATTTAATGTGAAATGGGTTTCTTGATATGTTAGTTCAGAGACTTGGAGGAAATTAAGCTCTTCATTTACAACAGTTCATCGCGATGAGCCTTGCTTACTGCCAACATAATTCAAGATGGCTGACTGCAGTACTTGAACCCTCTGAGCCTCCTCCTCTCTCAAACGTACAAGTTCTAACTCTCTGCCTTTTAACTTTTCCTCTAGCACCACAATCTCCTTCTCTTTCTCCTCCATCTGCCGTCTGTGTCTCAACATTTGTTCTGAAATTTAAGCATTTTAATAAAAAAGTGGAATTGCTTTTAAAAAGGATATTGAGAAACATCAAGAATATCTCTTGTTCTATGACCTGGACGACTTTCTTGGAGCACTGCCATATAAATATGTCTCTTCGATTTGGTGTTATTTAAATATTGATGTTATGAAATACACAGCGAGAGATTATTCATTAAAATTTCAGTTTGCAAACACTATTAAAGAACTTATGTCCCAACACCTAAAAATAAATAGTATCATTATATTATGTTATTCAAAATTATATATTTAAAGGTAATTTGACCCCTGATCACGACTTACCAGACATTTGGCTGTCCACAGACGCAAGTTTCTCCCGGAGCTCAGAGTGGACTGCCCGTTCCTGGTCAAGCTTGCTCTGGGATTTATTTAGCTCGACCTGCACCTTGGCTACCTCTGCCATTGTGTAATTATTCTTTTGTGCAAGTTCCTGAAATTCAAAGGGATGATGTCACAACATACAATGCAACAGCATAAGATGTCACAACATACAATGCAACAGCATAAGATGTCACAACGTATGATGCAACAACATACTTAAAGAAATCACACCCCTCAGATAGGTTATAACTCATACTAATTTAAAACCTGTCCCATGCAATGACTTTCACATCCATTCCTGTTGGCCGCCAATGTTACTCAGATGTGTACAAAAAGTGGTCATGATAAAAAGGGTTCTGGGAAGCCCAGGTTTGGAACTGCTAAAATTTCGGCGGCTACCTGGTTAACTTCCTCCATCTGCCGCCGAAGGTTCTCAACCTCTATCTGTAGGTTACTGTTCCTGTGCTGCAGCTGGGACAGCGTTGCCGTCTGCTGGCTGCAGTGACTCTTCAGCTCGTCTTTGCTTGTCTGGAGCACTCTGATCTTTTCCTCCAGTTGGATGTGTCGCTGTTCCTGCAACAGAAAAGAAGTGCAATCTTCATCTGCACAAGTATGACAAGTATCTGATCACTCTTATTTAGAACCTGGTCACCGCCACCACTGACCCCCTACATCAAGACCCACCCATGGCACACCCCCCTGGTGACCCCAGCAAACAACCCACCCATGGCATTCCCCTTGGAAACCCTAGTAAACAATCCACCCATGGCAACCCCCTGGTAACCCTGGTAAACATTCCACCCATGGCAACCCCCCTAGTAACCCAAGTAAACAACCCACCTCTTCAGACTTGAGCCTATGTTTCACAGAAGACAGCTGCTCCTCGGCATTCAACTTGTCCGAAATATTTGCTGCTTTGAGGCGACTTATCTCCTCCTCCATATCCAGTTTGGCGGACTCCATTTTGGAAATTCTGTCCCTCAGAATCCTCTCCATCTCTTCACTCTCTTGTTTCATGCGGGCCATCTGGGGATGCATCACATTTCATCTCATACTTTCAAACCCATATTTATTTATTTTTTAACCAAGACATGTCATTAAATTAAGCCCCACTCTACACTCTTAAAATGAAATAAACTCATAAACTTCAGTCAATTGACAAGAAATGCACAACATAAATGTCTGACAAAAATACTTCACCTCTTTCTGTTTATACTGTTCAAAGTCTCTCATGGCTTCTTTTTGTCTCAGCTTTTCTTGGGTTATACGTTCTGTAATGATATTTTATATGGAATTTATGTAGGCCTACCAGAAGGAAATCTGTCCAAACGGTAATGGGGCCTGATTTATTCAATGAAATGTTCATTTAATTTCATTTACATTGGAATCTTTTGGTTACCATACAAAGTATTGATAAAATGACCGCAGTTTATACTTATCTTACATATGAACAAATTCTTCAGTCTTTATAATTTATAAATAAACAACAGGGTTTTGTAAGATTGACAACAAACGTAACAAAATGAACAAGTTTTAGAGGTAACAAAGACAATTCCAGTTAACATCTGAACACTGGGCCACACTTCATTGTGCATGAGTGAATCACCCTCAAATTGTGAACACTGGGCCATACTTCATTGTGCATGAGTGAATCACCCCTAATTGTGAACACTGGGCCACACTTCATTGTGCATGAGTGACTCACCCTCAAATTGTGAACACTGGGCCACACTTCATTGTGCATGAGTGAATCACCCTCAAATTGTGAACACTGGGCCACACTTCATTGTGCATGAGTGAATCACCCTCAAATTGTGAACACTGGGCCATACTTCATTGTGCATGAGTGACTCACCCTCAAACTGTGAACCTTTCAGGGTTAACTCCGACTGAATGTGGGTTATCTGTTCCTTGAAGTCATAGATCTGCTCCTGCTGCTGGCGACATTTTCTTTCTAGGTCATCTACCTGGGCACCGGAACATTGATACATTAAATCTTTATTGGCTAAGTTCTAACATCCACAATAAGTCCACTGTGTAGGGTTTATTGTTAAAAGATTGATAGAAATGAAAATCATCAATTCCTTGCAAATGCAACTATTTGAGTGTGTGAGATGTGATCCTTACTTTGTTCTGCAACTGATTATTTTTATCTTGAGTTTCTGAGATTTCTTTTAGGAACTTCAAGTCTTCATTGGCTCTGTCCTGCAGGATAATGAAATAAAAAGAATTACTGCATTTAATTTCTTTCTATCTATACAGCATCCTGAATATATCAAAGCAACCAATTATTTTGATGTCTCACAAAGTAAAATGATAAAAATCTGTGTGTTATTTGTCAGTTGTGCAAAACAATTTGTTTTAATTTCAATGTTCAAATAAACTGAGCTAACAGAATTTAGGCCCCCATATCTACCTCTTTCTCCCTTCTTATCTCATTCTTATGCCCCCCCCCCCCATATCTACACCTTTCTCCCTTCTCTTCTCAATCATAAGGCCATCCTCATATCAAACTCTTTAACCCATCTTATCTCATTCATAAGGCCATCCTCATATCAAACTCTTTAGCCCATCTTATCTCATTCATAAGGTCATCCCCATATCTACCTCTTTCTCCCTTCTCATCTCATTCATAAGGTCGTACCCATATCTACCTCTTTCTCCCTTCTCATCTCATTCATAAGGTCATCCTCATATCTACCTCTTTCTCCCTTCTCATCTCATTCATATGATTGACGGCCATCTCCTGCATCTCAGACTTGAGCCTGCTGATGGTTGAATTGAACTCGCTGACCTTTTGTTCAGACAAAGCCAGTTCTGTCTCAGCCATCGATAATCTGGAGAAAACATTTTAAAAATTGGTCCAACCTGGCACAATAATTTGAACAACATGTAAAATAATTAAAATTCCTTTATCCAAGTGTGTAAAAAAATTTGTTTTAAATTCTTTTCTATGAGCCACTTCTAGGTCAAATTCCTAATGATCTCAACTGCAACATTTCTTCAGAACTGGAATAGAACTCTGTAACTCAGCAGTAGTTTATAATTCAGTTTAAATTAAGCAAATCTGTAATTATTATCATGCTTATGCAGACAGTTGGTTTAAGTAATCGTTAAAAATTAACAAACTGCATTAGTCCCTGGAGCTGAATCTTAAACTTGAATTTTAGAATTTTTTACATGCTTAAATTTCCAAAGGGAGAAGCGTCTTTAAAAAAAAAAAATTAAAAAATCAACTTTAAAAAAAAAAAAAAAAAAAAAAAAATTTTAAACTTGAATTTTAGAATTTTTTAAATGCTTAAATTTCCAAAGGGAAAAGCGTCTTTAAAAAAAAAAATTAAAAAATCAACTTTAAAAAAAAAAAAAAAAGGGCAAGATACGTACTTTGCAGCTAAAGTGTTGAAAGCCCCTTTTCTCTCATCTAGAGCAAACTGAAGGTTTCCTATTTGGTGGGTTGAAACCCTGGGAGTAAGAAGATTGGTCAAGTTAACATGATGCACACATAAACTCTCTTGATGATGTTGCTTAAACAAAACTACAACAAAGGATTGTGAAGTGCCACACTAGTCAAGGGTAATGTTAGTAAAACATGAAAAGGTGTTACCTGTTAGACTTTCTCATCAACTCTTCTTGTTGGTCTATGGTAGTCAGAAGCTCATTTAGCTGAAAGGTGAATTTAAACATCAGTAATCATCGATTTTATAAAATTGCATTTAAGGGAAACCTAACTAAACTTCGGTTATGTATATTTAAAAGCAAAAAATAAATCATTGCAGTTGATTATCTCAAATTTAAAAAAAATAACTTTATGCATTGGGAACAAGAAAGAACAATTTTTAGAATAATTCTTATCATTGTAAAATAGTTGTGGATATAAACTGCCAAAGTCCCACCACATAAGAAATGTACAAGGTTGTCAAATATTTTAATCTCCTCTGAATTCTTATAATAACAAGAAAAAAAAAGACCAACCATTTTTTTAAAATTTCTATTTCTAGATTTCAATTTTTTTTTTTAAAAAAAGCTAAAAGTTATTCCATAAGTATTATAACCTGCAGTTTTTTGTCCATTTCTATCCCTCTGATATGATTAGCAAGGGTTTGGGTTCTCTTAAAGTTTTCATCCACTATTGCCTGCCTGTCAGCATTATTTTGAACAGCTGTTTCTGTAGATACATTTTTCTTTTAAATCATAGAATAATGTCAGTGAAAAATATTGTTGTTGAACAATAACAATCATTTTTTCCACATTAGAATCATTTATTTAACGATTACTCAAAAGGTCTAAAATATTAATAGACTTTTATAAATAGACTTTTATAAATAAGACTTTTTCCTGTAATGCTGAGAGAGACTTGGAGTGGCATCAAACTGTAGAAGTTTATTTCATAGGAAAAATGTCAGAGTGACCAACCTATTGATTTGAGAATATCTGTAGGGACATTGTTACCGGCAAGTTCAAGGCGACTAATTGTTTTATTGCTCTGCAGCATCTCTAGAAGAGCTCTGCCTCCTAGCAATCCACAATTGTTCCAGCGCAAATCTGTCATAAAATATATATTTGTCAGTGGACTTTACACAGCTGTGCCCTAAAAATTATTTGTACAAAAAAAAGAGTGCAATATTTACACTAAACTTCAGTAATTATATTATAATTTTGGCTCATATTCCTAATTCAAATTCATAAAAGCTAGAATAGACTATAGAAAGAAATAGCCACTTCTATATTTGAACTATAAAGTATCTATTTTACCCCCAAATGCACTAACCTAAAGCTCTGAGATAAACATTTCTTTTAAGTGATGCTGCAAGCTCTCCAACACTGTCGTGACTTATTTGATTATTCCGCAGGTCAAGAGCCCTTAAAGATGTACTTGATCCCAATCCATCACAGAACACAGAAAATGAGTTGTCCAACATTCCCATACCATTCCATTCTAAACATAAGCTAAAAAAAAATCAACAGCATAATTTCATATTTAGTAATGGTTAAATAAATAATAACAAAACATTTCTGATTTTAAAAAAATATTTAGGAACTGTGACTTGTCAACCCTATGATACAAATCTAACTCTAAACTCTAGAGCAAATATAAGATGTTCACAATAATTACACAGATGTGAAAAATGAGGTTAGTTCTTACTTTTAACTGTTAAACTTGACATGCATGATGATTCCAAAATTGTGTCTTAACAAATTTTAAAAGATTAGGTTTTATGCACAATGAAGAGTTTAAAATTACTAGTTGATATATTTGTACTCAGTGATCTATTATTTTTAAATAGTGCTTTTTTACCTTACAAGCGTTTTATTTTGTCGTAGCATTTTGCCAAGTGCCTCAGTACCTGACCCTCGAATATTGTTACCCTAAAAGTTAAATTAAAGCATTCTTAACGTGATATACTACTCATTTAAATAACTTTAATTATATTGTTTTATAAAATATTTAGTATATAAAAATGGAAAAGCCATATCCATTGATAATGAAAGTTTAGGATTATTTTTTAAAAATAAAAGATAGCATTCAAATAAACAATATAAATTATCTGTATCTTTTCAAATTAGCTTTTATCTTTTGAATCCAGTAAATCAAAAAAAATTTAATATTTTTTTTTCTAAAGAAAAATCTAGTGCCTTAGAAAGTGATAACATAAACTAAATGAGTAACTTTGTTCAAGAACTGCATATACCTTGAGGTCAAGTTTGCGACAAAATGTGTTGTGTGCAAGACCTTGTGCTAAACCCTTAATTGCTGCAGATAAATGAAATAGAAATTTATTAAAATATTTTTTAAAATAAAAATAAGACAGAATGGATAATGTAATAGTATAGTTAAAGTAGCTCAACCCACAATTAAAAAAACCACCTAATTTTTAATTAGAGCATCATGATTTTTGAAATTGTTATTTATCAATGACCAAAATTACATCCGGCATATGTTAACATATCATTATCTCAGCATTATTGTTTATTACCATCTTCAGCAAGCATGCAATCAGCAAATTTGATTTCCACAAACGCTCTATCAGATGCTAGGACCTTGCCAAGTACAGCACATGTTTTAGGTGTTAAGCTGTTAGTAGAAAGGTCTAGAACAGCCTTACTTTTGCTGCCTGACTCAAGGCTGAAATCAGTGAAATGCTAGTATTAGTATACTGTGAAGTTATTTAAAGTTTTCTTGGATAAAAGAGGATATAAAAGCATTATTATGTAACTGACAGTTTAATAATTATTAGGTAAGTATAAATATGGATTTCTTTATTGGTAACAGGTCATTTTAATAAAATTTAAATCAGGTTAATAAGATTAAGTATAAATATTAAACTGTCTAAAATTTAACATGATTTCTAATAACCTTTTCAGCTTCTCTAAAACACATTCTTGTGGGTCAATGTGATGGTCTTTACATAGCCGTACGTAAATGTGACGGAAATCTTCCATCATGTAACAACCAGCAGGTCACCAGAGAGCTGCAACTGGTTAAAATACATTTCATTACAGATTAAAAGCAAACATCTTCACTGACTTCATTTCTATTAACCCACAATTTTTTTAATGCCTTAAATGAATTTAATGGTTGATTATTTCCCTGTTGAGTCAATTATCTAAGCTATAACCCCTTTCCTCCCATGTTTTTTTTTTTTGCACTCTTTTTTTTACAACTCTGCTGTCATAGCAACAAAGAAGGGAGCTATGTAAATAGGTAATGAAAAAAAATGATAAAACAGGGAGAACCGCCAAACGTATATTACCAATTATTTTTATGTAGGCTAGTTGAATAAGTATGATAATTAGTAATACTAATTACTATTGTATAATTAATATAAATTAAAACTATTTTGTTGTCCCTTATTTTATTTATTCCTTTAATTTTAATAAGTCTAATGTCAATTATTTTGACTACAAAAATGGACCACTTCAGCATCAGTTATTAAAAAATCATGGTGTTTCAGTTTGAAGTGCTATTTAATGGTTATTCTTTTATTGATGTCCGTTAAAAGAACATTGGAGAGAGGATGCCTATGTTTTCAGTGGCATAGAAAGAGAGAGTGGGCACTGTTTTCTCATTAAAGTACCAGACCAACGTGCGTTCATGTTACAGGAGTGCATAGAGAGATATATCCTTTCAGGCTCACGTTGTGTATTGGGTGGATGGGGGGCTAATATAAACATAAACCAGATCAGACACAGAATCTACAAACACTCTGTTGTGGTTGATCAATAAAATTTTGTAGATCCAAATAATACTGATGTCCACACACACAAAATTTTGAAATTATGTGGATCAACTCAAAGCGCAAACTGAAAAGACAGTTTGGCACAAGACACAATCTTTTCCCTCAATATTTGCATGGGTTCATGTACCGCAATCATTTTCATGGAGATGATAATGATATAAACTTAAACTCTGCTTTATTTTCATTAAAAAAAATTATTAAAGGGTTAAAAAAAAATTATATTTTAAAATTGTTGTCATTTATATAGGCTATATCTAGGGATAATGAAACCCAATGGCGCATCCGTTCTGCACATATAAAAAAATGACACAAAAACTTGTGACCCGGTTTTGCACACTGCTATATATATATTTTGTTTTTTTGCTGTTTTGTCTTTGTTTTCTGTAATAAATTGATGCCTCATCGATGACGTATTGTGGGATTGTATTCCGGTGACGCTAGTGTTAATTAGACCACATGCTTGTTTTTGTGTTACTTACAGCTATTCAGTGATCAACTGGTAAGTGCTAGATTGCAAAATACTTTTTTATGCTTATAACAACTAACAAGTGTTGCATATTTTGTACTACTAAACTAATTTTACTACAATTATAAATTTCATTTGATAAGCATTCCTATTTAATAAAAGGAGATATCGCAGCCTCAAGTTTTGAAGTTTTTATGGTCATGATAAGATATCGACTATGTGCTGAAATGAATATGTAGGCAACAATTTAATAAAAAATATTTCCATTTTATTTGGATCAATAAAACAATTTAATAACCATTTAAATAATAGCACTTCAAACAGTAAGATGTTACAATGCATGATAACTGCATGCCATGCCATAGTGCCCATAGTCTCATATGCATAGGACACAGATGCTCAAGTGGTAAATTACTCTAATACTAATATGATTGAAAATTTTTTAAACAATATATTACGTACCGATAGTGTGGTAGAGAAGATAAAATAGTAGATTATATAAATATAACATAACTTGACTTTAATAATAAATAACATTAAAAAAAAAAAGATCGGGTCTGGACATGTTGTTACACACGAAGAATGAAATGCTATTTAAATTCCAATTTTCATTAGATCCTAAATCAAGGACTACGGCTAAATACTACGAAATGATTTACAATTAAAATTAGGCCAACTATAAGATGGAGCATAGGAGCAATTGAAATACAAACTCGCTATGCTATTAATCCAGTTTTTGATATTTTGTTTGTTATGGACTTGGCGTCTGTTGTTGTTGGGGCAATTTAGCTTGTATGCAGTCGTAGCAGTCATTTAATTCGATCACCATTTCTATCTTCTTTAATTTTGAAGACACAAATGTATTTTAGGCCAAATTTAATAATAATTGGAAGGGACATTTCAAATATTTTTTTTTTTTAATAATTTTAAAAAATGTTTTGATGTTAAATATATTTATACTTTAAGCCCTTAAAACTTCAAAATATAAGTGTTCTTCAACAAAAAGGGTCAAAACCAATATTTTTTATCTTGCATAAGTGATAAGTGCCAAAGATCGTACGGAGTATAGATCAGATTATTTTTAGCCTGGGCATTCCTGATCCTGAATGAAATTGGAAGAGTCGTGTGTTTACGTTACCAGGAACGTGGCGGAGTGTAGCATTTAATATGGATAAGGGATTTCTTGCGGATGTAGGTCATGCATCGGCAACTGTAGCTATATAAATTGTTACGCTACCCCACAAACGAAAAGGATTATGACATGCTATAGCCTACATGTGTGAAGGCAAGTAATATTTTTGAACTAACATCCTAACAATAATTTTATTAATATGATCATGAATGCCATGATAATAACAATAATAACATGTTTATATTTTTACAAATTTAGGCTACTAATACTAATAGTATTATATTAATTATAATGTATATTATGTCTATGTACTACTATACTATTAACGCATAGTTCATACATAATACATAGTGTCGTAGTAGATTCTCAATATTAAATTAGGGCATTTACTATGAACTCCAGTAGGGCCTTGTATAGAGTAGGCTACTTGCCATTACAATAGTAGTAGCTTAGGCCTAAGTTTAACTTAAAGTATGTTTGTACTAAATGTGCTTTGCACTAATTACTATCCACTACGGCATTAGACCACGTCTGATAGTTCAGCATAAGTTCTATTAATATGGATTCCTAATACGACCGCCACAGCAGTACTGATATGATTGCGGTCTGATAAATCACCAGTCATCTCTTTGTTTAAAAGAATATTACAAGCTAACAAGTACGCCTTACTAGGGTTTGTATTAATGCATTTTTACTTTGCTTACTTCGTAATTTAATGCAAAGCTTAAAACAATAAGCTGTCGGCACTGTCGTAGAAAGGGAAGGGCGGAGGGAGCGGTCCGTCCAGGGTGGTACTTGTTAATATAAACATAAAAGCCTTTACTGAGTGGTCGGGGTGGCAAAGTACTTGGGCCGCCCCTGGCGAAACTAATAGCTACGCCACCGTTTGTCGGTGGTCCGCGAGTCTCCGGTGGCAGAGGCCGGCCCTGAAAAGGTTTAACAGTTTAATTTGAGACGCAGTAGTGGTGTGCATTTAATCCTGTAAATAGGCCTACTAATGTGTAACTTAATTAAGCGGGCAACCATTTTGGTTTCTGCTTTCGTTTGAAAGTAATCTTAAGTACAGGCTTTTGAACCACTCAACAAAGTATTGCGAAATTTAAGCCAACTTATTCTCCGTGCCAGTTATTTGAATCAAATTTTGACTTTGGTGGTATTATTAATTGTGTCAAAATACCTTCCTACGTAGGCCTACTCCATGTGAGATTGTAAGTTTTAGATCTGGCTTTAAAAGCAAAGCACGTCCTTTTTATTATACCGCGTTTTCCGGCGTATAAGACGACTTGGCGTATAAGACGACCCCCTACTACTTTTCCTGCTAAAATATAGGGTTACCGGAAAATTGTTTGAAAGAAATTTCGTCGACGGAAAATTGATCGTCGGAAGTTTGGTCGAACGGAAATTTGATCGAATTTTATTTCAGTTCACACGATCAAATTTTGCGTCTAAATTTAATTTTGAACGCTCTATACTTATAGCCTAAAGTAAAACAAAATAATGCGTCATCAAGTGATCTAATTATAAGTGTTTAAATTCGATGGAAATTTTCAACGGAAGGTTTTCTTAAAATGTAAGCCAACATTTATGCTGTATCCATCACTAGTCAGGGGCATCTACACCAGGGGGAAAGGAAGAAGTTGCTTCCGATCTGAGTTGGGGGGGGGAGGTGAGTTGTATTACTAATTTTTATAGTAAACTCCCGAATTAAATACAATACAAGACTGGCTTGACCCACATTGGACACAGTACAAAATGTGCCAAGTTCAAGGTCGGGTGGGGGGGGGGAGCGGAGTGTTAGCTTCCACATTTCGTCGTAAAGGGGGG